AGTTTACAGTGTGAGAATGCTACAATTGGGTGTAGGGCAGTAATGTTTTGGGTAGGTATTTATACTACAAGGTAGTTTTAATCAATATATGAACTTTGGGCGTCACGTTTTGAAGTTTTAGGATTTAGGTAATTGGGAGATTTTTTTTTTTTTTGGTAAAGTTAAATAGTGAGTATTTAGTTTAGGATGAGTAAGTGGTTTTTAAGAAGAGTCTTGAATTGATGTTCAGACCGGGTTACTTTAGTATTTACTGGTAATGAATTCCAAATTTTGAGGCCCTTTATGTGCATAGAGTTTTTACACAGTGTGATATGGATTCTGGGTACATCAAAAAGACATCTGTGTTTTGTGTTATGGTCGTGTGAGCTGTTAAGGTTGGTGAGAAGTTTGAGTGGAGGGTTTATGTTTGAGTGTAGTGTTCTATGTATGTAGTAGGCACATGAGTAAGCATAGACTTTTGAATATTGGTGGAGTACGCTGTAGGGAGTGGGAATTTGTTATCATTCTGACTGCGGCCTTTTGCTGGGTTATTAGTGGTTGTTGTGATAGAAACACGGGCCCTTTATCTCTAGGCTTTTATTGAAAACAGAATCTTCATAGAACTTTGCAACAAAAAAAATAAAATGATAGTACACCTTTTTTTAAAACTTTTTTTTCAGGGATGGTGATGTTTGCATATTTTAAAGAAAAGGTTAAAAAATAAAGGCCACATATTTAAACCCCCATGAAATTGCTCCTAATATATTGAATAAAAAAAAGAAAATCAACACCATGTGTTGGCGCCCATGAACCACCAAATGGGGGTTTTGTTTTTAAAGGGGCCCCCGAGGGGTGGTGCAGTATTATCCTGTTGTGCTCCCCGGGAGCAGTACACTAAAATCTCCCCCTTCTAAAATATCAGAAACAGTAATCCCCCAAACTGTTAGGGGGCGACTTTAAAACCGTCCCGCCCTTCTACCCCTTTGAGCCTCTTCACCGGTTCAATTTTTCCCCAGCGGGGTTTGACCAATGGGGGAAGCAGAATCCTCATTTCTGTGGGGGATTTAAAGGGGATTTCCAGGGAAAAACGAAGCCTTTCACATCTATTGGTGTATCTTGAGATTCCAAAATAATGGGGATTTCAACTGGGGCTAAATGTTTGTGATACTGTAGTCCTTCACCTTTTTGGGTAGGAATATGGGGGAAATGTGGATTGCTTCAGGAGCTCTCCCTTTTCCAAAAGGATCCATTTTGTTCTCCTAGGGTGCCCTCGGGGGGGGAAGGGTCCGGATGGCATAACCAATGGGCCCGGGGCCCCTGTAGGGGAAACAATTGAATAGTTGGGGATCTTTCATGAGGGGTTGCATTAGTGCTGTGCACAGCAATGATCTAAAAGATGAAGGCATCAGGTAGGACAGTTTTCCCGTGTTCAACGGTAATTGCGCGACTTCAATGTCATTGTAACTGGTTCCATTAGTACCATGAACCGCTCCACTTGACCATTGCCTTGAGGGGTTTTTGGTTGTTTTTCTGCTGCAGGCAATACCTTTGCTAGCCTAAAACTCCTGAAGTTGTTATCATAAACGAGGATCCCCCGTCTGAAAGGATTAACGGATACCAAAAATAGGAACAACTGTGAAAGAAATAATAACAGTTTTAAGGGGAGTCAATTTTCAAGGGGAACACAAAGGGAAACCTTGAAAATTCTCAAGTTAAGGAAATATCTATTTTGATTTATGCTGGAGGGTCCTTTGAAATCTATATTCGTCTCTCAAAAGGCTGGGGATTTTTTGAGATGAGTCTTTCTGGTGATAAAGTTTGGTTGCACTCTCACATATCTGCATGCTCTGATCAACATCAAAAGGTATACAGTACCGACAGGGTTTTTAGGGGAAGACAAAGCAACAGTTAGACAACTTTATTCCGAAACGTTTTTGCCCAACAGTAGGCTTCTTCAGTCGAAAACAGAAAATAGGCAGGGAAAAAAGTAGAGATGTAAACGATGTAATCGCCATTTTACCCTTGAGTGTAAATTTTAGGTTGTCAGTCCCTCGGCCGGGGGAAAGTTCAGTTCCATAGTCAGGAACTATCTGAAGATCAAGCGGGAAAAAGCGGAGACTTAAAAACTGTCGGAAGGAGAGGTGCAGAGGGGAGTAGTAGTAGGGGAG